CCGTGCAGGGTGCGGCAAGGTGGCGTGGGTCCTCGGTTGCCGTCTTGCCGCACCCGCGGCAGAAGTACAGGCGGTACTTCTGCATGAAATGGAGCTTATGGTTGGCGTGCAGCTCGCGCCCAGAAATGGTGATAGTGCCCTGTACTGGCACTATCTGGTCACTGGCTGACGGCAGAGGCGGCTGGTGGGTGCACGGCGTGGCACAGGCCTGGCGTACTTTACACTTGTCTGTGGTGAGCCCGCAGCGGGAGCACAGGTACTTGCCCGCTCTGAGCTCAAAGGCGTGCTGGCTCGATTGCACGGCTAACTGCAGCTTGGTGAGGCGCGGGCCTTTGGCCTGCGAGGGTCGCTCCGCGACCCACGGATCAACTGCAAGCGTGTCAGCTAGGGCACGGCGCGCCCTCCTGCGGATGAGGGTGCACTGGGCATCGCGCAGGTCAGTGGGAGGGGCCTGTCCTACAAGCGCTGCCTCGTAAGACTGTTGGGCCGCTACACCTGCCCATGCATCGGCCGTCGCGTTGCCGATAGTGTGAAAGTATCGCACAGGGTCTGAGGCTAGGCCAGGTGACTCCTCGCCGTGTGAGGGCACCCAGATCACAGTGAGCTGACTAGTGCCACGTGCACGAATTGCTATGGCAATTCGTGCCCACATGTCCTGATTTGCGCCATCGCTGGGGCGCAAGTGTCGATTCGTCCGCCATCCGTCGTACAGCGGCGGGTGGTCTGTAATGAAACAGAGGTCGCCCTTCCAGTGTTCTAGGGCGAGCGCGAAAGCTAGCAGCTCTGCACGGGGCACAGTTTGAAAGGGGCCCTCGAGGCCCGACACTATTCCTTCCCAGGGGACCCACTCCCCGAAGAGGCACTTCATAGCAGCACAGGCGGTCCCCACTCTTCGGCGACGTGGGTCATCACTGTACTGACCTCCGGAACCGTCTCCGAAGAGAGTGAGGGTGCCGTCGCTACTGACGCAGTCCTCCGAATCCCGCCCAACCCAGCTCCACCCGCCGCCCCCCCCCCCCCAAAGAAGCAAAGAGCGGGTGCATGTCAGCGCACGCAGGCAGGCCACGGAGCCAGTAGGCGGGAGCAGCCTCTGCTCCAGCCAGGGAAGAGGGCAACAGGGCGTCAGAATCCGTGTAGTCCTCGTGGTCGCGGTTGCAGGGGCACAGCCAGACCCTGTGCATGAGCGTCTCGTCGGCCTCTCCGCATCTCGGACAGGTTGGAGTAGCGTTGTACCCAGTCTCGATGAGTCGGCTTCTGGGCCATTGCGCCCCCGCGACCACGCACAGGTTGAGGGCCGACTGGTCGTACTGGCCCTTCCTCGTGAACTTCTCCATCTCGTTGGCAACTATGTGGACGTCTGGGCCCCCACGTTGCAATCCTTCTCCACGTGGATGTTTGGCAGCGCCCTTCCAGAGGCTCCTCTCGAAGGACAGGCAGAACTCGTGGACGAACTCCGCAGGGTCCACGTCGTAGCGCTTGTCCTCCCAGTCGGCTTGTCCACTGCGAGGTAGCTGCCGCTCCTGGGTATGGGTCTCGCCTGCCCAAGGTGGTCGTGACCACTCCGTTGGCGTCGGGCAGGTCCAGCCAGCGTCCAGGAGGATGGCCTGGATGGCGGAGATGGGGCCCATGACCTTCCTCCACTTCTTGTTGCCGCGCGTGATCGACTTGTTGTAGATCAGCTTCCACGCCTGCGTGACCCGCATGTGGTGTTCTGGGTACTGCATCCAGAAGTTGAGCCACTCGGCGATCGACTGGCGCCTGAGCTCGATGGCGGGGTCCTTCTTCCTCATGACGACGGCCAGGGCTGTGGAGAGACAGCGGCCAGGGACCTTCCCCGCAAAGGCCTGGATGTCCTGGCGCCTCTGGTCGAGAATGGCCGCTGGGGCGAGGCCCATGATCTGGCGGTTCGCGATCTTGGCGAGGGAGGCGTGCTTCCTGACCTCGGCGACGATGCGGCGAGCGCGCCTCCTCGCAGTCTTGGCCCTCTTGGCGGCCTTGGCCACGACCCGTCTCTTGGCGCCGCCCACATCGATGCCGAGGTCGACCGCGCTGTTGGCCACCTTGACGTAGTAGCCCTTCTGCTTGAGGCCGTCGTGCACTGCGTAGGCGACCGTCTGGTTGGAGGCGACGACGGTGGTCTTGGGCGAGACTCGAAGCCCCGCGCCGGTCATACCGACGCAAAGGTCGGCACCGACGCCGATCAGATCCTTGACGACCCGTTTGGTTTGGCCCTCTGTTCTCGCGACCGTGTCGTCCACGAACGTCCACAGGCCCGCGTAGGTGTGGTTAATGTGGGCCCTCTGCAGGATCGGCCCCAGGTAGACTTTGGCGAGCTTGCCGCCATTGCAGCTGCCCGCGACAATGGACCTCTCGGCATCTATGATGTCGCTGACCCAGCCGTGCATGCGCAAGTACCTGGGCGCCAGGTAGAGCTGCACCTCCAGCGCCACGACGATCGGGGGGAAGTTCACCCCGATGGCGGCGTCGAAGAGGAGCGCGTAGCAGACCGAGTCGTAGAACTTCTCTACGTCCATCAGCAAGGTCGCGAAGGCGATGCCAAAGGTCGCTGCCGTCCCGTCGAGCAGCGCCCTGACCAGCGCTGCTCTTAAGGCGCTGGAGCCTTTGATGGCGGTGTCCCAGAACTCCCCGAGCTCCTTGGACCACTCGTCGGTGACGCTGGAGCGGACCTTGGCCCACGTCTTGGGGATGGTGGGGAGCACGCCCAAGATTCTCTCTCCACCTGCGAGCTTGGGGGCCATGGCCCCAATGGTGGCGCAGAGCTGCTGCGGCCACAGTCCGTTGGCCTCCACGTGGTTGTAGATGTCGGCGAGCTCCTGGATCCCTTTCTCGGGGAGCCTCTGGATGTCGATGGGGCCGATGTTGTCGACTCCTCTCGCCTTCTTCGGGTCGGCGGTGCCCACGATGGCTTGCATGCTGCGGCTCGATGGGCGAGAGAGGGTCCTCTTTCGCAAGTCGCATGGCCTTCTCGCAGGCGCTGACGATCTGCTTGGCGTTGTAGCTGTCGGACGCCCAAATGGAGCGCCAGGTGTCGGCGGAGTGGTTCATGACCGTGGATGGGTCGCCCACCGTCCTCTGGGGCTGCTTGTCCTCCAGGCGCGGCGCCTTGGGGTCGGTGACCATGCGGCGCAGCTTGCCTGGTGACTCCTTCCACGCCTGCTTCGCCCAGTCGAGGTACCGTTTTCGCGCTCTACCTGCAGCTCTCGCCATGGCCTTGTGGGTCCACTCCATGGTGGTGGCGCTGATGCGGTGCAGGTCGTCCTCGTCGCAGTACTCGAGGGTGGCGAGCTGGGCCTTCCACTCTTCGATCTCCTGCGGGTCGGTTTTGCTACCGAAGTGCTCCTTGGGGAACTCGGGGTTCTCTAGGTCGTCCAACTTCTTCATGACTGTCTTGTGGATGTACTGGCGGGCTTTGGGGTCCTTGCCGTTCGTGACCAGCGCGGTGTACCTCACGACAAGGGTGCTGAGGTGCTGCCACCAGGTGGCCTCGGGGTCCTTGAGGTACGCTCTGCCAGGCGACGCCTTCATCGTCTGCTTGGTGGTCCTGCACCCCCTCTGCCCTGCCCTGGTACCTGGCCCTGTCCTCGACGGGGACCGCATGCGTCTCCAGGAGGGCGAGCTCCAGGGTCGCGATCCACTGCGCGCACTTCGAGTTGATGTCCTCCGCGAGGTTCGGCTCATGGTTGTGGAAGATGTGTCCTCTGCCCTCCTTGGTGCCGACCTTTGCGCCATCGAACTTCGGGAAGTTGCTGACCTCGTCGGCGGCGTCGTCCCAGTTCTCCTGGGGGGTGACGAAGGGGGTGGGGCCCTCCTTGGCCGTCTCGCGGTTGGCGTGCAGGGCGTCGAACTCGTCGCGCAAGTGCTCTGGTAGCCTTTCCCTCCTGGTTCGCAACGCCTCCGCACGAGCCTTGGACCTTTTGCTGTTTGGGTCCGCGACCTTCTTGGGTCTGGCTCGTGCGGGGAGGGCTTTGGCATCCTTTATAGCTTTGTACTGCCACGGCTCGGCGGTGCCCACCGTGATCTGGATGCCGCAGTGGGTCTTCCAGGGGACGTCGTAGATGGCCTCGATCCCGATGTGCGTGGCGATGTCCGCTCGTACGATCGCGTAGTCGTACACGGAGCCCGAGCCCTTGTCGCACGTCGCCATGCAGTTCGGGTCGGTCAGGATGGCGCCGTTCCAGCGCGTGAGCCACGGCTTGTTGTCCCAGCAGTGCGGCTTTTAGTTCCAGTCGGCCAGGATGATCCACGGGTCCGTGAGCATGTCCACGAAGGTGGAGATGGAGACCAGGATGTCCCTGCTCGCACCTTGGTCCCGTAGGCCAGGGCGAAGGCACGCCGCCACGACGACTATGTTGCCGCTCTTGGTGTGGAGGACCGTCGGCGTGAACCCCACGAACGGCTGCCTCTTGTGGCGCTTGACATAGTAGTCCCTGTAGCCCTCGAACGTAGTCGCCGCCACGTCCCTGCGCGAGAGGGCCCACTCGCCGCCATGGGTCCCCTCGTCCGATTTGTTGGTAACCACCGCCGGTGTGGCCGAGAGCTTCCAGCCGCCCATGGCGAGCTTGCCGATCTGCTCCGCGAGGCCGTTCGCGTCGACGTGCGTCTCCGCTAGCGCTATGAGGTGGTACTTGCACCCTGCGTTGCGACAGAAGTTCGCGGCCTGCGGGCCCCATTCCGCGATGTTGCCGAACAGGATCTGCGCTGCCTGCTCGGGCCTAGGGGCGGGTGCTCCTGCCGTGGGCGGACCACCGGCGCGGATCCCAGGCCCCTTAAGCCGAGCAGGCTGCTTGCGGCTACCCCAGCGACGGTGGAGCTCCTGCCGCTGCCGCTGGCACCGTGGTGGCGCCCTTGCCAATGCCCTTCGCTGCGAAGGCCAGCTCCCTGGCCCTGGCGGCGGTGGCGATGAGCTCGGCGGCGGCCTTGCGGTCCTCCTCGGAGGGCTCGTCGGCGGCAGGGGCGGCTGCGGCGGGCCCAGGGGCGCCTCCAGGCTGACGTGGCTCAGCAGGTGGGGCGGCAAAACCTCCTGGCGTGCCAGGTTGTGCCTGTCCTCCAGGTGCGGCGGCTGGCTGCTGTTCAGCTAGTGGCACGGAAGGGTGCCCAGGCTCAGGAGCAGGTTGCTGAGCAGCAGGTGCTTCCCCATTCGGCTTCTTGCGCTTCGCAGGGTTGGTGGTGGACTCATTGGCTTGGCGTAGGAGCTCCCGAATTTTTTCTTTGCCATTGTTGAGCTCGGCGAGGCGCTGGTCGAGCTCTTGCTTCCACTGTTCCATCTGGGTGCGGGTGCCATCATCATAAACGGAGAGGTCGTCCCACATTGAGCTGTCAACTTTGAAGGCTTCCTGAGGCCACACAGGTGGTGCTCCGCGTACTGCTCCAGCGAGTTTGGCACTGTGGTCCGCTTGTGCCTTGGCGCATGCGTTCTGTGCCTGGACGAGGTCAAGGGCGGCTTGCTCTTGTTTGTCCACGGCGTCGTCGTACCACTGCTTGGCGGTCTCGACGTCGTCGACCGTTTGCTGGAATTTCTTCTCCCTGTCGGTGAGGACTGACAGCGCCGACTGGAGCACCTGGTCGGCTGTGCGGGCAGGCGGAGGCTTGTCGGGCTGCTGGAGGGCGTCCTTGAGGTTGCCGACGAGTTCGGCGTGCTTGGTGTCGCTGAGGAGCGTGCTGAGCGCGGCGAGGATGGCGTCCCTTGTAGGGGCGGCGGCCACTGGCGGCTCCTTCCACGGCGGTGGCTTGCTGGCTCCTGCCCAAGCCCCTGTGGGCTGGCGGTGTTCGGCAGGTGATGGAGCCAGCTGCTTGCCACAAGAGAAGCACTCGGACTTTCCCTTCCATGTCCATCGGTATCGGCACTGCTTGCAGACTGTGTTTTGGCTTGCGAACCTTGCTGGCGAGCCTCGTCCGCCTTCAGGGCGTGCGCGTCGCGGCCTGGTGCCGCCAGCATTGGCGGCAGCTCCTCCGTCAGCAGGGGCGGTCCCTCCACCACGATCCGCGGCGGCCATCGTCTCTCTGCTTCCCAGGGAGCTCTCGCGAGCAGCGCAAGGGAGGAATATGAAGTGGGCGGCAGCTCGCCCGTGAGTGTGGCTGCGGATACGAAAAGCACTGAAAGCTGTGGGAGCCTACCCCAGATAGGCAGTGAAATGAACACCATTTTGGCCTTGAGCCAAAATGGCTACGGAGAGGAGGGAGGAGGAGGAGGAGGAGGAGGAGGGAGGAGGAGGAGGGGGAAGGGGGAGGGGGGGAGGGCGGGAGGAGGGAGGAGGGAGCCCGGAGGGGGCCCAGAGGGGGCCCGTGTGCGACTGGAATGGGGGATGATCACGGGCCCAGACGCCTCTCCTCCTCCTCCTCCTCCTCCTCCTCCTCCTCCCTCCTCCTCCTCCTCCTCCTCCTCCTCCTCCTCCTCCTCCTCCTCCTCCTCTCCTCCTCCTCCTCCTCCTCCTCCTCCTCCTCCTCCTCCTCCTCCTCCTCGCTCCTCCGCCTCCTCCGCCTCCTCCTCCTCCTCCTCCTCCTCCTCCTCCTCCTCCTCCTCCTCCTCCTCCTCCTCTTCTTCTTCTTCTTCCTCCTCCTCCTCCTCCTCTCATCCCCTCCTCCTCCTCCTCCTCGTCCTCCTCCTCCTCCTCCTCCTCCTCCTCCTCCTCTCCTCCTCCTCCTCCTTCCTCCTCCTCCTCCTTCTCCTCCTCCTCCTCCTCCTCCTCCTCCTCCTCCTCCTCCTCCTCCTCCTCTCCTCCTCCTCCTCCCCTCCCTCCTCCTCCTCCTCCTCCTCTCCGCCTCCTCCTCCTCCTCCTCCTCCTCCTCCTCCTCCTCCTCCTCCTCCTCCTCCTCCTCCTCCTCCTCCTCCTCCTCCTCCTCCTCCTCCTCCTCCTCCTCCTCCTCCTCCTCCTCCTCCTCCTCCTCCTCCTCCTCCTCCTCCTCCTCCTCCTCCTCCTCCTCCTCCTCCTCCTCCTCCTCCTCCTCCTCCTCTTAAGTCTTCCTCCTCCTCCTCCTCGTCCGGCTCGCCCCACATGCCGGCCGACGCAATGAGAATCCCGAACGAGGCTTGATCAGTTCCGCATTCTCAAGCCCGGAGGGGGCCCGGAAGGGGCGCGGAGGCCGGAGGGAGCCCGGAGGGGGCCCGGAGGGGGCCTGGAGGGGGTGCGGAGGGGGCCCGGAGGGGGCCCAGAGAGAGCCCGGAGGGAGCCCGGAGGGGCCGAACCGGCCGAACTGGACCGAACCGGCCGAACAGAGCGGCCAAAACTGGACCGTCCGACCCGAACCGGCCGAACCCGACCGGATGGACCGAACCGGACGGCGATCTGAACCGGACCGGCCGAACCGACACGAAGGCGCGCCGAACCGGACCGAACATATGTACGTATACGCATGTACTCATGCATGTATAGACAAAACTTCATCTATAATATGTATATATAGTCACGTATATGTATAGGTATATACATATATGTGTACATATATGTATTTGAATATCTTCCTGTACACATAGTGGCCCTCCCAATTCTAAAATCGTCTAAGGCGTGTGCAAATCACATTTGCTGAGCGGAACAAGTCTGGAGTACTCCAGCTACTCTGGACCCATGTGAAAATGGCAACAACTATCAAGATCGCAGCCAGGATGATCTCGACTGTCAGCGGTATACTTTCTACCCTGCCTTCACACACTATCCCTCGTCATCCCCTGTCTCCCTCCACCTATCTCCCTCCATCCCCGCCCCCATTGCTCCCCCTCCTGCGCCTGAGTACGTATTTCCTCCATCTTAGCCACCGCCTCTCACAGCGGCCGAATTCTATTCGATCCGACCCCGACTGAAGAACGCACTACCCTTGGTCGGAATGCAGGGCGCACTGACGCTCCTGAAACCAGCCTACACACGCCGATGGAGAAGTGGGTTCAAAATCAGCGCAACAACTCGCAGGCTCTCTCCTCCTCATCTTCCTAGTCTTCCCACCCTCGCCCCACTGCTTCACATTCACTTCATTGCCACTCGTCGAGAGTCCAGCTGGCTGGCACTTGCGGCCAAACCGGCGGAGGCCTATCTCCAGCGCCTTCAATACTGGGATTGACTCCTCGGGAGGCTAAACTCTGCTCTACTCCGAGCCATTCGCTTGTCTTGCTGGGGATGTCTCAAGAAGCTTGGAGGACCCTCTTTGCCTTTCCTTGCATGCACGTGACGCCAACACTGCCTAAACTCGTTCCTTGTACTCCACGCCACCGCACATGACCATACGACTTGTCAGAGCAACTGCCCTCGCTCGCACCATCTCTTCCCGAAGAGACATACGTCAAGCGACGGGCAAAACGCAGAGCAGAGCGCTGCTCCTTCCAGCCGACATAATAGGACAGGCTCGCCAGAATCATGGCGAACAGCGACAAAGTCACAAGAATCCGACGGACCCCCTCATGGCGGTATCGCCCACAACTGGGCCACGCTGGTCGCTGGTCAACTCACGCCCTAGATCTAGAGGAAAGAGAACTATGCACATACACCGAGTCTGGCCAGGCCCATCCTGAGCCCAGGATCGGTGCATACGCTCTCCTGCCTTGGCCAGGAAGGTATATGCACCGATCCAGGGTCAAGGATGGACGTTGTCAGGATCGGTGCATGTGCATAGTTCTCTTCGCCCGATAGATCCACTCCTGGCCTCTTGACGCTGTGTCGCGTGTCCCGTGATCAGGGCGGAAAGCAGCGGTGGTGTAAGGGTGACCTCCTAGGTACACGGTCGTGCCGGCTCACGCTCCACGAGGCGCGGCAGGTGTCTCACCGCATAACAGGCTGCTTCTCCTGCTTCCCCTCCCCCTCCTCCTCCCCCTCCTCCTCCTCCTCCTCCTCCTCCTCCTCCCCCTCCTCCTCCTCATCATCGTCATCATCATCAGCATCGACACCAGCATCAGCATCAGCATCATCAGCATCATCATCGTCACCATCAGCATCATCAGCATCGTCATCATCATCAGCATCATCATCGTCATCATCATCAGCATCATCATTAACATGATCAACGTCGTCATCATGCTCATCGTCGTCATCATCATTAGCATCATCATCATCATCAGCATCATCGGCATCAGCATCAGCATCATCATCATACTTATCCTCTTCCTCATAATCCTTGTCCTCCTCCTCCTCCATTTCCCAAGTGTTCCTCCTCCTCATCCTCCTCCTCCTCCTCCTCCTCCCCCCTCATCCCAGAAGCGTAGCTGGTTCTGTATGAGGTGGGCATGCGCTGGACACCCCTTCCTCAGACCGTCCGACCCACCTGGTCGAGTTGCGTCCAGCTTTGGCGACAAGAGCCCTCTCCACCGAAGGCCAACAGAAGTGCGAGCTTGCATGTCGCCACGCGCAGGTGGCGCCCTCGAGTGGGCAGTGCCACTGCGCCGCCCGCTCTGGGAGACTGTCGCACCTGAGCTGGAGACCCGGCAGCCCCTGGAGGGCCTCTGGAGATCCCTGGACACCCCCGTGGATGCCCTGGCACGGGCAAGCCTCGAGAGCCTCCTGGGCCCCAGGGAGGAGCCCTGGGAGGCCCTCGGCCTCGACGGCAAGAGGATGCCGATGCCGCCACCCCGCGGGCCTCTCCCGGGCCGCGTCCCGACGAGGCTCCTGCGCCGCCATCGGGCCGTGGCGAGGGGGGCCCCCCAGGAGGCCCAGGGTGGCCGCAACGAGGGAAGGGCCCACCCAGACATTCCAACGAAGGGATTCGGTCAATCTCCACCCACTGCAGCCCCCTTTCCAGGGGGGGGCACCATCTGATCGAAGACGCCCACGGCGAATCACCGCCGCCCCCCGCCTTTTTGGAAGCGCCTGCGCGGCCGAAAGTTGGGCTTGAGCTTGGCCAAACCATCGGGCCACGCGTTCCCCGAGTGGGCTTCGAAAGCCTTCGGGGAACACGGAATTGGACGAGCTATCGGCGAGCTATCGGACCAGGTGGTTTCCGAGCTTTCGGGCCTCCTGGAGGAAGTCTTGGAGGGGTCTTGGGCCGTCTTGGAGACCTCTGGCGGGCCTTTTGGACAGTCTAAGGCCATCTTCAGGCCATCTGGGGCCGTTTTGGGTCCCTCTTGGGACTTGCATGACGGCCTCTTGGGCCGTTCTGGAGCCATCTGGGAGGCTTCTGGGACTAGATTGGGGATCCTTGGGCCGTCTTAGGCGGTCGGAACACCAAAAAGAAGGAAAAACAAACATCCTTCAAAAACATACGGAAAATGTAAGACGTTGGATCCCTCGGGCCTTCCTGGAGCACCTCGTGGACTCCTCTGGGACAATCTTGGAACCTCTCGGGCCCATCTTGGGCCATCTTGGCCGTCTTAGCGGCCATCTTGGCCGTCTTGAAGCTCACCTTGACCGTGTTGGAAGCATCTTGGAGGCCATCTTGGCCGTCTTGGAGACCGTCTTGGGCGTCTTGGCGCCCTCTTGGGGCCGTCTTGGAGGCCCCTTGGGCCGTCATAGGGCCATCTTGGAGGCCTCTTGGGAGCTCTGGGGGCGATCTTTCGGGCTCCTTGAGCCGTCGTGAGCCGTCGGAAGGCTCGAAAACAATCAAAGCCAAAACCCTTCAAAGACCTCAGGAAAACATTGATTTTGACCTCTTCGGGCTGTCGTGGAGGACCTCTTGGAGGCTTCTTGGGCCGTCTTGGAGGCCTGGTGGAGGCCTCTGGGGCCGTCTTAGGCCGTCTGAGAGGGTTCTTGTGCGAACTTGGAGGCATATTGGACTCTCCTGGGCCGTCTTGGAGGCCATCTTGGACCACCTTGGGCGAACCTGGAGGCCATCTTGGGTCATCTTGGCCATCTTGGAAGCCATCTTGGAGCCGTCTGGAGCCGAAAAACCCATTTCAACCACCACCTGTCACGCATCTCCGGCGGGACGGGCCGAAACCCCAGGGGGATTTCTTTCTAAAAAAAAGGGTCTAGCACGCCGGGCCCCCCTGTGATGAATCAACAGGGGGCGGCGGATGGCGTTCGGCCCATCCCGCCACCGTGCCTGGGTTGCGGTTGCGGGTATGAAGCCTATTGCATGCTCGTTGGGATCTCGTGGGAGGTCTCTCGGGGGCCTCTTGGAGGCAGGTGGGAGGCCTCGTGGGGGCCGATCGGGGGCCTCATGGGGCATCTTCTGGGCCTCTTGGGGGCCTCTTGGGGTCTCGTGGGGGCCTCTTTGCGGCCTCTTGGGGCCTCCTGGTCGCCTCTTAGGGCCTCCTGGGGGCCTCCTGGGGGCCTCTTGGGGCGGAAGGCTCGGATTTTCGGTTCGTCTTCGCTTTCTTGGGCCCCTTTTGGGGGCCCTCGTGGGCCGTCTCGGGCGCCTCTTGGGCCGTCTTGGGGCGCTCTTAGGCCGTCGTGGGGCCCTCTTGGAGGCATCTTAGACCGTTTTGGGGTGGTCTTGGGGGCCTCTTGGACCGTCTTGGAGCGTCGGAAAGCCCAGACGGCGAGAACGCCAAAATCCTTCAAAAGCCTCAGGATAATCAATGGCATGCCCATCTTGTCTTTAGGCCCTCTCAGAAAGCCTCTTGGAGGCCTCTTGGGGCGTCCTGGAGGCCGCCTTGAGGCCATCTTGGGCGTCTTGGGCCGATCTCTGGGCGTCTCGGGGCCCTCTTGCGCCGTCGTGCGGGCCGCTTGGGACCCTCTCGGCCCGTCTTGGGACCCCCTTGGGCGCCTAGAGATTCACGCGCTACCACTTGGCAAAGCCCATGGGGCACGCGGGAAGCCCCCCCGGGAGATTTGAGAGCGAGGGTTCCGGGCCCCTCGAAGACTCCGCAGGAGCGAGGACTGAGGCTTAGAGGATTGGGCCTGGGGCCTGAAGACGAGCCCACTCCGTGCCCAGCGGCACGGTGGCAGATTCCCACCGGGGCCATGGTTTGTGGTCCCGGGGCCGAAGGATACCCCCAGAGGCCGAGACGTTGGAAAAAAACTGCAAGACGTGTTGTTTTGTTGTGTTTGCTTGTTTCTCTTCATTCCAACCAAAAAATGGCACACGCTAACGAGGATTGGGGATCCTTAAGGCAGGTGCTGCCTTATCTGGCGACGGAGCGTGCCAACGCGTGGGTGGCTATTTCTGTCTGCCCCTGGGGGGCAGGTTCGCGGTCCGGAATGATGTATGATGGTCCCCGGGCCCGAAAAGAGGCCCCCAGAGGCAAACGCACAGGAAACACATGATAAATAATCGGGGAACCTCCTCCGCCTCCGCCTCCGCCTCCTCCTCCTCCTCCTCCTCCTCCTCCTCCTCCTCCTCCTCCTCCGCCTCCTCCGCCTCCTCCTCCTCCTCCGCCTCCGCCTCCTCCTCCTCCTCCTCCGCCTCCTCCTCCTCCTCCCTCCTCCTCCTCCTGCCCACCCGAGCAGCCCGCCGCGGGCCGGGGAGGCGGCGGGGAGGCGGCGCCTCCCCCCCCCCTGGCGGGCGGGGCGGGCGGCCGTCGGCACGGAGGCCCGGTCGGATGGCCAGCAGGGCCCAGCAGCTGACGCCCGCGGGCCCCGGCGGGCGGAGGCGCGCAGCCAGCTGGAAAGGCGAGGGCGGCCCTCCCGGGGGCGCCCCTCCCGAGGGCCCCCCGCGGCGAGCCGCTCGTGGGCGAGCGCCCCCTCTTCAGGGCAAAGGAGGGGGGAGGGGGCCCGGAGGAGGCTCGCGGCCGCAACGGAGGGAGGTGCCGCCTCGAATCCAGGAGCAGTGCCCCCCCCCCCCGGGGGAGGAGCGGCCGGCCCGCCCCCGCCTCTTGACCAGGGAGGCGCTCCGACGGCGTGGCTTGTTCAGTCCAGGCGGTCTTCGTTGACTTCGGCCCTCGGGCTCCCCTGTGCCCCTGGGGGAGGGGTCGGGACCTCTGGGGCCGAGCATTGAAAAAACATATGGTCCAGGGTCTGGGCCACCCCCCCGCACCCCCTCATGCTGATGCCATCGGGACCCCCCCCCCGCGCGATAGTCCCCCCACCCCGGATGTGGTGTGGTGCTGTGGGTGCATAGTACTGTGGTGCTCCAGGAGAGCTCCAGAGGTCGTCGTCGCCGCCGCCGCCGTCGTCGTCGTCGTCGGAGAGCTCCAGAGGTCGGCGCCGCCGCCGCCGTCGCGGTCGTCGTCGCCGCCGTCGTCGTCGTCGTCGTCGCACTCGCCGTCGTCGCACTCGTCGTCGTCGCCGTCGTCGTCGCCGTGGCCGTCGTCGTCGTCGTCGCCGTGGCCGTCGTCGTCGTCGTCGTCGCCGTCGTCGTCGTCGTCGCTGTCGTCGCCGTCGTCGTCGCACCCGCCGTCGTCGTCGTCGTCGCCGTCGTCGTCGCCGTCGTCGTCGCCATCGTCGTCGCCGCCGCGTCGTCGTCGTCGTCGTCGCCGTCGCCATCGTCGTCGCCGTCGTCGTCGTCGTCGCTGTCGTCGTCGTCGTCACCGTCGTCGTCGTCGCCGCCGCCGTCGTCGTCGTCGTCGCCGCCGTCGTCGTCGTCGTCGTCGCACTCGCCGTCGTCGCCGTCGCCGTCGTCGTCGTCGTTGTCGTCGCCATCGTCTTCGCCGTCGTCGTCGTCGTCGCCGTCGTCGTGGTCGCCGTCGTCGTCGCCGTCGTCGTCGTCGCCGTCGCCGTCGTCGTCGTCGTCGCCGTCGTCGTCGTCGTCGTCGTCGCCGCCGCCGTCGCCGTCGTCGTCACCGTCGTCGTCGTCGCCGCCGTCGTCGTCGTCGTCGTCGCCGCCGTCGTCGTCGTCGCCGCCGCCGCCGCCGTCGTCGTCAGAGGGCTCCTGAGGTCGGCGCCGCCGCCGCCGTCGTCGTCGTCGTCGCCGTCGTCGTCGTCGTCGTCGTCGTCCTCCCCCCTCCCATCAGGTGGTCGGGGGCCGTGGGCCTGGAGCCCCGGATCATGTATCGCCTGATCTCTGGGAAAAGAAAAGAAGGGGCACGATGCCCCCGCCCCCCCCATGTCTACGTCCTCACTTTCCCGTTTCCCCTCCTCCCCTCCCCTCCTCCTCCTTCTCCCCCATACCTCTCCCCCCGCCATGTCTCCTCCCCCGTGCCTACGTCGCCCCCCTCACCTCGTCCACCTCCTCTTCATCCCTTCCCCAGTCCCTTCCGCCCCCCCAGTCCGTCGCCGACCTTTTTGCGCCGCGCTGCGTTGCGTTGCGTTGCGTTGCTTCGCGTTGCTTTGCATGGCTTTGTATTGCTTTGCATCGCTTTGCATTGCGTTGCCTTGCCTTGCCTTGCATTGCACTGCGTCGCACTGCTCTGCACTGCGTCGCGCTGCTTTGCACTGCGTCGCGCTGCTTTGCATTGCGTCGCGCTGCTTTGCATTGCGTCGCATCGCTTTGCGCCATCTATGCCAAGAAAAGCATACGCTGATCCTGGCTGGGACCGTCCTGAGCCCAGGATCGGTGCACGCGCCTTCCTGGCGTGGCCAGGGCGGCGTATGCACCGGTGCTGGGCCCAAGATGGGCCCTGCCATGATCGGAGTATGCGCATGGCTCCGTCGGACGGGGGAGGAGGAAAGGCGGGCGCCCTGCCCCCCCCCCTCCGACCCTGGGCCCATCCTGGGCCCAGGATAGGTGCATACGCCGCCCTGGCTGGCTCCTCCTCCTCCTCCTCCTCCTCCTCCTCCTCCTCCTCCTCCTCCTCCTCTCCTCCTCCTCCTCCCCTCCTCCTCCTCCTCCTCCTCCTCCTCCTCCTCTCCTCCTCCTCCTCCTCCTCTCCTCCTCCTCCTCCTCCTCCTCCCTCCTCCTCCTCCTCGTCCTCCTCCTCCTCTCCCTCCTCCTCCTCCTCTTCCTCGTTCCTCCCATGAACCGCTGCACCTCCATCTGGCGTCCATCAGCGGATCCCCTGGCAGCACCCAAGTTGGCATCCTGGTCAACTGGTATGATGCCGACTGGCCAGGGTAAGCGGGCGATCGCTGGCCCTGCAGCGTTGTGTACAGCAGCGTGCGCCGTCGAGGGCAAGGTCAAGGCGAGAGAACGGGCTAACCACGGGCGAAGCCCCCCAGCCTTCTAGGCGTAGGTGGTTTAGGGGTTGTTTCCTTTTCCGTCCCCCTTTCTTCCCCTTCGGGGACGGGTTTATCACTGTTCCCTATTGATAAACACCCCCTCCCCCAGGCGACTGGTGCCCAACCATGAACCATGAGCGCACCCCCCACCATCCCGTTTAAAAGAACAATTCAAACACACTCTGTCTCCAAATTCGGAGCATGCGTAGCCAACCCGACGCGGCCTAACCCTACCACCCCTGTCAAAAAAAAGAGTACACTTGGCGGCGGCGGCGGCTGCTGCGGCTGCGGCGGCGGTTGCGGCGACTGCGGCGGCGGCGGCGGCGGCGGCGGCGGCGACGGCTTGCGGGCGGGGCGGGAGTTTTGACCCTTCCCCCTACCCCCCCCCCCCCATGGACCTGGACGGGGCGCCCCGCGAGGTGTCAGAGGATATGGTTTCGCCCAAGATGGCGCCACGAGGGTCTCCGAGAGCCCAAGATGACCTCCAAGATGGTTGAAGATAGCCCAGCTGCCTGAAGGTGGTTCCCGCGATGTTCCTAGAAGCCCCAAGAACGCCCCATGACGGCTCCTAGAGGCCTCCGAGACTTCCAAGGAGGCCCCAAGAAGCCAAAATCCTCAAACACCTGAGGAAAACCACGTGTCTGCATTATCGCCCGCTCGCTTCCGAGAGCCTTCTGAGCCTCAAGATGGCTCCAAGATGGCCCAAGAGGGCCCCAAGAGGGGCCCAAGAGAGCCTCAAGATGGCCACAAGAGCGCCCAAGAGCGCTCCAAGAGCGCCCCAAGAGGGTTACAGGAGGGGATTCTGGGGGCTCCTGAGGAAAGGGATCGACGTCCTCCAAGATGGCCCCAAGAGAGCCTCGAAAAATCCCAATAGCACCCCAAGAGGGGCCCCAAGAGGACCCCAAGAGGCGCCAAGGAGGCCCCAAGAGGCGCCCGAGAGGCTTCCAATAGGCCCCCGAGAAGCCCCAAGAGGGTCCCCGAAGCACCCAAGGCGCTCCACGAGGCTTCCAGGACCGCTAAGAGGCCCCCAAGACGCTCCAAGAGGCTTCCAAAATGCTTCCAAGAGGCATGCGAAAAGACTCTGAGAGGCAATTCGCCTTGGCATCGTTGCTGGATGGGCTGGTGGGGATACTTTTTTACTCGCGAGCGCAAGCGGGAGAGCCGCGCGCCGTCAAAAAGATGCCACGGAGCAAAGACCTAAATTACAGCGGCCAGCTGGTGGGGATACTTTTGTCCGCAACCGCAAGCGGACAGCCGCGCGGCGTCGTGGAGTCACACGAAAACCAAGCCTACAATAACCAGGACAGAGGCCAGGTACCACGGCTGGCGAGCGCCGAAACATGCAAGCAATGAGGCGGGCAGCGAGCCGGGCCGGACCGAAGCCGAGCGCGGGCGGCGAACGAACAGCGAAAATGGCGCCACGCAACTAACCTCAGCGCAGCTCAGAAGCCGAAGACGCCCGAGTCCAGGCACACTGGTGACATCGACCTCCTCGAAGAGACTCACCACGTCTCCGACACAGCGTATGCCAATGCGGTCGCTGAAGGGGGGAGGAGGGAACGAGGCAAATGGAGAGGAGACGCGGTAAGTGTTCGGCCATGGACCCTCGGCTACACGCCAGAGCCACCATGGGCAACAGTGACCTTTGGCGCGCGGCTGTGGGGGGGGCCGCGTGGACGGGGGCCACATCCAGGCGCTCGAGCCAGTGCGGGGGGGGTGGGGCACACAAACCGGGGCGGACAGGATGCAAGGCCCCTGGGCGCCCAAGTCGAAGCCGAAGTTGGAGGCCCAGGGCCCACGGCTGAGGGCTGCGCAGGACAGGCCAAGAGGCAAGAATGCCAAGGTGCCCCTGCAAATCAACTCGCCCTCGTGATCCTGCTTGACTCTGCGCCCTGCAAGCCGATGGCGCGCTGCTCTGCCTCCTGGGGCGGGATGCTGGGAAAGGCTCGGGGCGTTGGGACCGCGACCGGGGCGTGGTTGGCGTCGCGCCGAAGCGCAGCGGGCCAGAGCCAGCGGCGCGGCACGCCGAGCAAAAGCGCTCCCGACCAGCAGAGTCGGACACACACGCAGCGGGGGGGGCGCCGCAGCCTGATCCTCGAGGTCCCCGGGAGCCAACCCGAGAGGATGGGTCCAGGTGCACGGGGGGAGGGGGGAGGGGGGGGGCGGGTGGGAGGGGGAGGGGGAGGGGGAGGGGAGGGGAGGGGGAGGGGGGGAGGGGGAGGGGAGGTGGAGGTGGGGGGGCAAGGTAGGTGCGCTCGCGTCATATCTGTCGTCATCGTCATACCCCTCCCTCCCAGCCCTTCCCATGGCGCGGATCTCCTCCTTAGTTATGCGCACAGGCTGATGTCGAGCAAGGCAATGATCCCGACAGGGTTTGCGATGCATGGTAAAGTATGGCATAATTAGCATGGTGTAGAAGAGCGCGGCAGAGCAGAGCATGTCATAGCATGGCTTGGCATTGCGTACTGTAGCATTGCATCACACAGCGTAACATCGCAAAGCATGGCATCGCACAGCGGAGCACAACGCAACATCGCACTGCATGCCAGGGCATGGCACCGGATGCCTTGAATGGTAAAAGGCCCGTG